GATGAATTCGTAGAAGCAGCAGTATATTGGTACAGAAAAGATGTATATTTTTCCAAAATCAAAATAACAATTGACTTGAAAAAATAAAGATTGTAATCATCTTGTTTTGTTATCCTGTAACAAAACTAAGCCAATTAGTTGGCAAAAAGAGGATAAAGAATCCATTTATAAGTCTACTTGTTTAAAAGGTACCCATATTGTCTTAAAACAATAACATCAAAATATTACGTATACTTTTCTTGTGCAATTATATGTCATAATGCCACAAAGATGGCATTGAATGTTAGTTTATCTTAGAAAGGGGTTTTTTGGGTCAGTCTGCGACTGTGAAATAGCTAGTAGACTCTCTGGTGAAACTCTTTTGATGGAATACTTGCCCAAAAAGATATTGATTATGCTAAGTTTATAACAAATAAACTGGTCTGTGGAACACAGTTAGAAACTTTACACTTGGTTCTACTATGAGAAACTAATGAAATTTGGAATATATTGTTTTAGTTCTATGTAAAATTCATTTGCAGTTGAATTTTTATCTTCTCTTAATTGAACTACGAATATATTTCTAATAGATTCAACAATTTTTTCGCGAATAATTTTGCTTTCCGTGCATTCTCTAGAGACCTGGATTTATAAGATTCCCACTCTACAAACTTGTCTGATTTGGCAACTTGTCTGAATTTCATTGCTTGTCACAGGCTGATGGAGATTACAATGCGAAACTTGGGGTCACCATTCTTGGTACTTAAAATTGTCGTGTTTCAATTTTTTTTTTTTTTTTGGTCATGAGGAATTATAGATAAATTCACAGTGGATTCTGATATTCATCTGTCTGAATCAGGGGAAGCAGTGGCTGTTGAAGATGAAGTAGTGGTGACTAACAGCATTGTTCTTCCAAACAAGACTATAAATCTTAGCGTTCAAGATGAGATTATTCTATGATAGAGAGGTATACACCCATTACAAGTTCTCTTCACCATCTATCCACAGTATTAAAGCGATTACACCCACATGTTTTGTTTTTTCTCAAATTTGGACAACAAAAAGCTTTGAAGTCAAACGTTCTTGTAAAGTAAGTTTTAAAGTATTAAAGTAGAATCCTGAAAATGGTAATGACAATATTGCTTATTCATTTTACTTATGTTTAAAGAGAAGGAAAAAATTTTGGTACGATTTGTTTCAGTTTGAATCTACAGGTTTTTCACCACTTTTATTATTATCTGTAAGTTAAAGAGTGTTAGGACCCAAATTTAACATGTAATTTGTCAGAATTTTAATTTTGGTGGAAGAAAAGTTGTATTTATGGTAAAAATTGAGAAATAAAGAGATAGATGATTGAATATAAAGTAGTAAGGCGGAAAAAGGATTTAGAAAGAAGAGAAGGTTCGGTTGTTGATTTCCTGCGACCGGTTTCACGGCCTTCTCTGTGCACCCCGTGCGATTCTCTGCTTTCTGAGTTGATTTACTACATAACTTAATTATTACTAAATCAGCAAAAGAAATATCCCTATGAGCTTCTAAAATGTTAACATGTCTCCGAGAATAGTGTATTCCTTTGTATAAGGAATGAGGGAAACTCCAACAAAAGAAATATTAGAAAGGAAAAAATGAAACTTCTTCCCATGCAATATTCAGGAATTTTAACATGCAACAAACTTTTTAACTAAATATAAGAGAAGCATCAACACATTCATCAATCATATTTACAGCTCATCTGTGCTACTGAAGCGCCTTATTGCATAAACAGAAAGCTGCCCAACAGCTAATAATGAAACCTGCAGTTCTCTATCACTCGCTTCAAATGTAAAGTAACAAAAAAGAATTACTCGAAAGCACTGGAGGGGTAAAAATAGCATTACAACAAATCAAGTATGCTTGAACAAGGCCAGACTAGGCTAGGTTGGTGTGCAAAGAGATTTATGCACAACATTTTCCATCTCTGTCACAAGAAAAATTAGATGAAGGTAAAATGGTATCCTCAAAACTGTACTCAACTCTTTTAGAATCAGAAATCAAAAATGGTGAATCAGGGAATCCCTTGTGTTGGTTTCTTCCCAGCAACTTCACTATACCACAATTTCCATGCATCCATGTAATGGACAAAAAGCTCTCTGAGAGCTGCAAAACCACCAAAGAAACTTTCCTATCAAGATAATGTGAGGCAGATGTTTAGCTACATAAGTTACTTGAACCATATCACTTCAAGCAAGCAATTTATCTTACCAGAAAACAACGTGGGATATTTAAAAAACGCACATTTAAAAAGAACCACTCCCTATAATGGAATGAGTTACCCATTGTAAGACACAAAGAATATAACTAACTACCACATTTAAAAATATTACTGAAACATATGATAACATGTGATTTTAAGCCTCGGGATTACTCACTATACCAATAAAATCGATAATAAGCTAACAAGTAGATACACATAAATAATATACATACATAGGTACGTACATCCGCTTCAAGAATAGTTTCAGAATTTAATCCCTACTCTTTCAGGGCTTTGAGGATGCACATTCATAGCATATAAACATACACTTATTTTCATATGTATGTATCTAGAGAAGAGGATAGATGACATATTTACTTCGTATAAGAAGCATATTTAGGGGAAGGCCGAGACATCAAACTTTAGCTGGATAAGGATTATCTAGTAAAATGACTTAAATAAACATGTTCCGGATGGGTTTCTACCATACATCCAAACCTTATAAATGACTACTATCAGATTGACGACATTTTGCAAAGGTCGGGTGCTTTTGAAGTGAAGGTGGATGAAGTTTTAAAGACTTCTTCAATTTTTTGACACTGTAGGTAATGGGACCATAATGCAGGAACCTAATAAATTATATCATTCAGGTTCTGGATCTCTTTCAATATTACCTTGATTATGGTATTGAGGTTTGTGAGTGGAAGCAAGATTCTCCAAGTCAAGAACCTGATTCGCGTTATTCTCCAGACCGCCCGATTTGGGAATACCAACGGGAGCAAAAGGACCAAAGTGGTAGCTCTTTGAACCCTGTCGTGAATCTGACTCCAATTTACTTCTATTAACCAAACTCTCAACGGTCGGTTGTTTTTGCATCTTCAAACTCGGGTTCATATGGTCGTCGATTGAAAACTCAACTATACTTTTCTTACAACTGATGTTTGTGACATCAGTTCCGAATGCCCTTTTCCTGGACTCAAGTACCAAAGCATCCCTAGATGTATTCTCCGATTTCCCTCCGAAACCCAACCATCTAAATGCTGGCTTCCGAGTGTCTGATGTATGGGTCTGGACACCAATTAAAATGTTGTGATTTTACCGAAGTAAAGATCAAATTGGTGAAGGTTTAAGAACTTAAAAAGTGATTATCAGTCTAACTTCCCAAGCAGAAATTGTTGGCAAAGATGCATTACCTTTTCTATAAGATTCATCGAAGACAGCACGTTTGCAATATCGTACAATCGCCTCACTTTTGCTGTCAAAGCATAACATTGGATGTTAATCACAGACCTCTACATGGACCACTTCAAAAGGGTAAATAAAAAGAGAAGTAAAGAATTATACTTCGCATAATAGATGTATTATGGGCATCACCAAGCAATAACCGTGCAGCCTCGTCAAGGGAAATCAGATTAGCCTGAAGATGTAGGCAAGCCATACTAGTGAGTAGTTTCATCACAAATCAACACTAGTTTTAGATAAACAATCATTTGAATTTTTTACTTACATCAGTACAAACGAAGAGTTTCACAAAATTTTGTGTAAGAAGCCCCAGAGATTTCTCTCTTCGGTTATCTATCAAAATACAGAAAGGTTATTATTAATTTGATTATTAAAACACAGAAAAGTTGAACAATTTTGATCAAACTGCTAAACTGAACCGTCGTTGCTTGTTCATTGACTTGTTTTATCTCCAACTTTAATTTTGGTCTTAATTTATTATTTCAATAAACCAAAATTTTGATTTAGTTAATCAGATAATATATTTCAGAGAACAACTAAACCTATCAACTGATATATGAATAACAAATATATGTCATAATAATTAATCAAGTAGTTGTCTTGAATTCTGATTTTAATTAAATTAATATGTTTAGTGCTTGTTTGAGCTTTGAATTTTAAAAACAGACTCTCAGACTTTATTCATTTGGTTTTTGCCAAATTACACATTGACTCACCTGCCAAATCTTTATTTTTTTTCTTTTTTGAGAACTCCAAATCTCTAAGTATAGATAATAAAGACACATACTTTTTCATAAAGTTTTATTTGCTCAAATATTTTATTTCTTATAGCTCCAGGACTCCAACGGAATGGACCACTAAGCCTCTTTGTCATTATTCTGTTTGCACTAGATGTTTTTAGATTTGTAAATAAAAATTATATACTTAGACACGGTTGTTTATTATGAAACTTTTAAAGTCAATTTGATTTGCAAATTTAATCGATACGTGGTTTGGACACTTGGTGATTTATGTTTGGCCTAAGCTTATATACGTCAAGGAGGATAGAAAATAAAAAAGCACCATGTATGCCGCAACAGATATCCAAAATGGTGCTTATGTAACTAAGGATAGCCTACCAACGAAACATGGTTGGAAAAAAACGAGTGCAAAAGAACTGTACCCATTTTGGATGAAGCTGAAGGCTTAAGAACAGAGCTAGGTTTTGAGCCATCATTCTGGCTTCCAGTGTTGGGGTTGGATAGCCCTTCATCATCATCTTCATCATCATCTGAGATCTGAAAGAAGAGACGACAAAATACACTAAGCATCAATCAATATGAAAACCAAACTTGGAAAACAATGTTGAAAAAAAAAATTGAAAAATTGAACGGTTTGTTTGGTTCCCTTTAAGTTCTACTCATAGTTAATTTGTAATTCTGATTTCATACCACCTTGATATTGTAGTTATAAATATAAATATTAATATGAAACATTAGATATGAAAAAAAAAAAATCAAAATCAAACCAAACAAGTCCTAAATTGACCTATGTTGGCGTTACGATTTCTTTCAAATTTACCTACCTTTGCGTTACTGTTCCCATCAAAGCTATGTAGATTATCCTTCAACCCTTCATCCTAAAATAGGTCCAAAAGAGAAAATCAACAAGAATGAGCCAAAATTTTCCTTTTTTTTTCAATAAAACAAACTGAAAGAAAAACAGAGAGAATTATTACCTTTAGCTCCTTTAGAGCTTTAGGAATTGCATCAAACCCTTTCCATGTGTACTGATTCTTCGCCCTTCTCGTAAGAACCTAAAATTCACCAAAACATCCTGATAAGCCAAAAAAAAAAACTAAAATTCGCAAAAACAAAGGGAGGAAATTAAAGAAATCTCACTCCAACGCTTTCCAGCACGTTAACAATATCATAGATCCGCCGTCTCTCAACTCCTACCAATACAAACAAATCAGATACCAAACAACCGCAACACAAAAAAACCCAAAAAAAAAAACCATGAATACACAGAGTGAGATGGAGACCTAGTTTCGTTGCGGCATCGTCGAGGCCAATCAAATCGATGCCCTCTCGATTGTACAATGTCAAGAAACTGCAAAACAAGAAAAACAAAAAATCAAATCAAATCAAAGTGAATTAGATAACCTAAATCGTAATCCAGAAATAAAATAAGAGGTGTGCTTACTTGGTGCACAACAGGCCTAATGATTTCTGCTTCCGGCTGTAGGCATGGTGGCGGGAGGCTGAATCGTAAAGATTCATGGTGCAAGGGGAGAGATCTGAGAGAGGTGAGTGAGAATCGTAAAGAACCTTATAGTTGGGAAATGGAGGGAACAGGGGAGAGAGAGAGAGAGAACCGTTAAGTGGAGAGAGATGAAGGCGGCGTTGACTGATGGTGATGGGCGGGTAAAAATTTTTGAAGAGGAGGGAGATTGGAGTTTTTGGAGGGACTAGGGGGGATTTTTCTTTTGTTTTGAATGTTTAAAATTACGGGGCAATATCCGCGCCAGAACGCTGCCGTTTTCTACTTTTTATCTTCGACATTACTATTTTACCCTTGTCCCACGTGCTCTTCTGGCTCCTGATTCCTGAGCCATAATTTTTTATTTGGAATTTCCGACTGTGGCTTAACATTACAAAATATAAAATATGAATTTTGTTATATAAACAAATAACAAAAAGGGGATGGGTGAAATAGACGCCTCCATGCCACGTATGCTCTATCTTTATCCTTGTGCTCTGGTTGTGCGGTTCACGATATAAAACAAAAATGCTAAAAGAAATACTGTGATTCTTTTATGTACAAAAATGCTAAAAGAAAAATTAATTTCAAAGTTACTGTGAAATTAATTTCAAAGTTATGTTTTAAAAGACTATGTCGGCTTCTAATTCATTGTTGTTAAATTTAATATAATTACTGTAATTTTATTAACACATTAGTAAATTAAATGTATATTCATATTGAATTAAACATTATAGGTCAATTATATTTAGTTTATAATATACCTACAAAATAACAATATTCACGTCCTCAATAAGATTAAAATTATTAAAGATGAAGAAAATCATAATATTAAAAAATAAATAAATTAAAATATTGAGGGAAAGAAAATATAATATTAAAGATGAAGTAAATTAAGATAATAAATAGAAAAAAAAATCATGATATTAAATAAAAAGTAAATCAAGATGCTAAAGAGAAAAAATAATCAGATTTAAAAAGATCATATAAACTAATGCATTAAAAATGAGTAAATTAAATTAAAATGTAAAATTATATCATTTATAATTAATTATTTGTTTCATTTTTATCCCAAAAATTCCTATATATAGGGTTGTAATATTCAATAGAAAATACATCAATCGAAATTATTATTAACATAATATTAAAGTTTTATGTCAAAAAATTATTTAACTCATTTATAAACTATCTTTGACATTCATTGCACACAAAAAAACTAAACTAAACTAAAAGGGGCTAACCTTCATAGAGGGACACCACCTTATTGTCGCGAGCCACCACATGATTGGCCACCTCCACCACCACCCAGCCTTCATAGTCGACCCTAAAACCAACCAGTGTTCCCTGCAACTACTAGTCTCCAACAGTTGTCCACAAGTATGCATTGTCACACAGCTCTCTTTGTCGCCTTCATTATATAAACAACTTCAGACGGCCACGTATTCTAAGTAAAATCATTATAGTATTTTTTTTTTTATAACTAATTACTATCTAATGCGTTTCGAATATACCAAAAATAAGTTCTTAATTAACTAATAAAAAATATTATAGTAATGGCAAGAAGGGTCGAATCTACAAGAAATTAGAAACTAATTTTATTCCTTGCTCAACAAATAAAAAGCAAACAAATAGGGTTTTTATAAATTCAAATCAATATAAAATATGAAATAGGTAATAAGCAAAGTAATATAAACCGAACTCTTAGCTACAAGATAAAAACTAAATAAATTATAAGAATGATTCCTAATCAATCAAATAATTAGTTCCAATAACGTAGTTGATCCTACATGCAAGAATTTGTTTTACCCAAAATATGACAAATCAATTATAGTTGTTGAAAATATTTTGATAGCTAGTCATTTCTTATTCTTAAACCAATCAAAAAAACGTTCATTAGTTGATTATTTACTACTAAGCAGCCTTGGGAACATCTACATGATTTAGCTTATCAATAGCCTTGAAAGCTATAAAGACCCAATTCAAGTTGTTAGATTCATCCACGTGAATCGATCAACTAGATTACTTATCCTCAATACGCCACTGATCACTACTAGGTGCTAAAACCACTCAAATAATTACGGATTTGAGGAGCTCGATTAATTGCTTGCAATTTCTCTTCTCGTATGACAGGTCATATTCAAATAGATTCAAAATAATAACTATATAGATATAGGTGCATGAAGTAAATAAATACCATATCTGAAATAAAACTCAAATTAACTCGATTAGACCTTACAAATACATTGTTGGAGTTTGTTAGATCTATCAATTAGGAAAAAGAAATAAACTAGTCATTCATGGTGGATTTCAATACAAAAGAGTTTTTTTATGATCAAGAAGAAGTAAAAAGCTGAAAAGAGAGTACAGAATTTACCACTAAAGCTTTGTACAGCATCGGGAAGAATAATAATTAATCCTACTTAGTAGCCGTCCTCTTTATAGAAGAGGGACTAGGGTTTTTTTTTTTTTTTGTTGATTAGGATCCTTTTTCTTTATTTTTGACTTATCTCAAGTTTTTCATAATATTTTATTATCAATCCAATATCTTGACTGGAATGATATTTTTTCTACATTTAAAAAACACATGTTTTCATTTAAGTCAGCTGCTGTGCATGACCTTTAACCTTGCCCAAGGCTAAGTTGACTGGGGTAGGACTTGGTGCTGACTACTAAACGCAAGCCTTACCCAAGGCTTGTTTTTAGGCTGATGATTATTTTCACGAACTCTTCTCTTTTTTATGTTGTTTTTTCTTGTTTCGTTCTT